GCATGTCCAGAGATTACTTCTTCGTCGAAGATGTCTTCAAATAAATGAGCTAACTCTGATTCATTGGGTTTGCAAAGTGATGAATCAGATGGTCTCCTTTGAAGTCCGAGTTCTGAACTGTTGTGTTCAGAAGTCATTGGTGTGGACTCATCAAAGGACACATTGATGCTTTCGATGACAATTCTTGTCCTTTTGATGTAGACTCTGTAGGCCTTGGCAGTTTGAGAATAGCCCAGAAAGATCCCTTCACCAGCTTTCTTGTCAAACTTGCCAAGATATTCTCTATCGTTGAGTACAAAGCATTTGCACCCATAGACAAGAAAATATTTGACATTTGGTCTTCTTTGATTGATGAGCTCATAAGGTATCTTCTGGTGCCTCTTGTTGATGATAGATCGGTTTTGGGTGAAGCAGGCAGTGGAAATAGCTTTAGCCCAGAATGTAATAGGTAACTCCGATGAAGCAAGCATGGTCCTTGCTGCTTCCTCGAGGGTTCTGTTCATTCGTTTCACCACTCCATTCTGTTGTGGAGTTCTAGCTGCTGAGAAGCTTTGTGTGATGCCTTCATTGATGAGGTATTCATTGATTCTAGCATTTTTGAATTCAGTTCCATTGTCGCTTCTAACTTTAATGAGTTTTCGTTGTAGAAGGACTTGGAACCTTTTCATCACCCCAATGAGTAGGTCGAGAACATCTGATTTCTTCTTCGCAAAGTCAACCCAGGTGTATCTGGAGTATTCATCCACAAGTACAAGTATGTACTTCTTTCTTGAGAGGCTTTGTGTAGATATGGGTATAGAGATCAATATGAATCATATCCAAGGGGTTGGTGCAAGAGGTTTCTGACTTTGTTCGGTGAGAGGCCCGTTTTAGCTTTCCCATCTCACAGGCTGAGCATAGATGATCTTTTTCAAAGTTGAGATCAGGAATCCCCTTGACCAGCTTCTATTTGGCTAGCTTTCTTAAGACATCAAAATTCAGGTGTGAGAACTTCTGGTGCCATAGCCAATTTTCATCACTCTTATGAGTTACAAGGCAAAGGGTGTCTTGTCTCTCAGAGGATTAAAAATCCAGAAGATAGAGATTCCCTTCTCTCTTGGCCTTGATAATGGTTTGAACAGGCTTTGTCTCTATGATACAGAAACCTCTACGGAACCTGACTTCAAGACCCTTGTTGTAGAACTGGCTTATGCTTCAAACCTTCAACATAAGCCACTTTGCTAATGGAGATGTTGCCTTTGATGAGGGTTCCGTATCCCTTGATGGTTCCCTTGTTGTTGTCTCCAAAAGTGACAGATCCTCCAGATTTTTCGATGAAGGAGGTCAGCTGACTTTTGTCACCAGTCATGTGCCTGGAGCAACCTGAATCCATGTACCATGGTTGCACATGTTGGTCATACAAGACAAATTAAAGGGTTTTAGGTACCCATTTCTTAATGGGTCCACGTTTGTTAGTAGGAGATATCACTCTCTTTTCATTTCCCTTAGCCTTTGCAGGCTTTGGTTTATTAGCATTTCCCTTGCCCTTGGACTTGGGCTTTTTCACGTTCTCATTGGTTTTAACTTTGTAGCAATAAATGTGTTGTGAGAATATGCAGCGATGTGTCAACATGTGATTCCTAAGGTTTTGTAAAAGAGTTAAACATTGACAATTATTATACTTTGGGCATGAATGTCTAACGTTTTTTTATTCGCTGAAAATGAAGAAGTAAATGCAGGGGTTGTAAATCATGTCCTAGCATCGGTTGTTTTTACAAACTTCCTATCTAGTTCAAATTTTTTATTTGAAGTGGTCTTTGTGTTTACTTCTTTTCTTTTGAGGAAGGACTGTTTTTCTTCAGCTGAATGAGAGGAAAAGTGGTGGTTAGTTTTCTCAGAGGCAGGCCACTTCTGTTTTTGCTCATGAGTAAACTTAATGAACTTGAAGGGTGTACTAGGGCATTGTGAGTTATCTTTAGCGGTTTTGCTATTACTCAGCTTTCCCTTTCCTTTGTCCGAAGATTTCATCGATGGTGGAATATCAGTTTTCATTGAGGATTTGAAATTTTTAGGCTTTTTATCCTTAATGATTACTGGTGATTCACATACTGTTTCCTCTTCAGATTCGGAATCGAGAAAGTCTCTTGCTGATTTCTCGAAATCAAAATTAGCATAGATGTTTGTGGGAGGTGTAGGTTCAGAGGTGATGCTTCAGAGTGATCTGTTTGAGGTTCCATCGATTCTGACTTAGCTGAACTTTCGGTTTTACTCGGATGGTTCATCGACTCGTCAGTTGATGGTTCCTCATTAGGATTCTCCTTTTCATCAATAGTACTTGCTGATGAAGTGGAATTGACACCCAGAGACTCTGGTTTAAGGTTTCCATCGGTCTCTGATTTGGAGGTGTCATTCCTTTCATCAGAATTCTTACATGTACTGCTCTCATACACCACATTTTCAAAATCCTGTCTTAAAACGACAGTTTTTCCATCGACTTTAACTCTTTTAAAATTTGCTTTTGGTTTCGGGATAAAGTCGGGTTTCTGAATGCAT